GATTTGGAAATATACAAGGCAAGGAATAGTTCTATTCGTTTCGTTTTTTTAATTGGTTCAGTCATGACCCAGAGCATAATCCAAAAATATTTTCATAATTGAGTTGGATAAAAAATAAAAGAAGCAGCACTAATTGGCTTTAGTGGTTGACTGGTATTGTCCAGCAGCATTTTGCTCATAGGTTCCCACTCGCAGACCAAAACAAAAGGCAGCACTCATTTCATTTCATTTTTTTTTTTAAACAAACCTAAAAATAGCCCTCAAATATATTGGTACTCTCAATTTTATCTCAAGACAATTTTTATATCAATTGTTTTCCTTCAAATTTTAGAATTTTTTTAATTATGACTTTTCATCGATCCATGCTTATCATGAATTCCATCCAATTTGTAATTTTTAAAATAATATTATTTTGTAGAAAACTTAATATTTTCTATCAGTAAAATATGACGAAAGGATCCAAACTTAAAATCCAAATTGTTTAGGGATAAAGTTGGTACAACAAATTGTTTGAAGGCAAAATTAATACTAGTCCAATTGCCAAGAATGTTAAAAAATCATCCCAATTCAAAAATTTTATTAAACTTAAAATTTGTATAAAAACAGATTATCTTATAACGAGAATGATTGTTTAGTTATTAAGCTTTTGATATTAAGTTAACATATCATCTCAACTTAAAAACTTTTTAATTATTACATCCATCCTTCATGAGTGCGGATGCACAATAACATTTTATGAATTATAAAACATGCATGACGCTAAATATTTATTATGAAACTGATTAAAGAGAAAATGGAGGGGAAAGGAAGGCATGCATGCATGCACCATGTCTCCTATTCGTTCAATATCCATGATAAGCTGTTACCGTCGTCCCGCTTAATTTTTCCGCCGGAATAAATCAACTGATCATTCACACAGTATTACTCGCTTACTTGTCTCCTCCTACTTAACCAGCTACACTTCCTTGCAAACTATTTATGAGCTCAGATTGGCAAGGAAACCACCATGGCAACCTACCTCTTTACTTCCGTACACTTATATATATATATATATTGGTTTTGATTAGCTTGCGTGCAGATGTTTTCAGAGTCGTAGGTAATAGGTATCGGGAATGGCTTCGCTCTAGATCGACAAGCCCTGACCCCATCAGGTTTGTCTTTCTAATTCGTAGGTTAGGGGTTTCATTTTTATTTTTAGGAATTTCGTTTCTCTTCTTTGTATGGTATTAAATATGAACTATTGATAAATTAAAAAAATCTAACTTTTAAGATCAATTAAAAATTAAATATGAGTAATTTATGAATTCAAAAAATCTAGCTTCTAGAATCAATAAAAAATTAAAAGTAATCTAATTAACGCGGATCTAACTTAAAAAGTGATAGATTTGATCTCCATCAATATAAAAATTAGTTCAAAAATACTTTATTATATGTATATATCAACAATAGAGAAAACAAAAGAAAAAAGTCTTGTCTCTCTAATTAAGTTTGTGGACGGGAATGAATATTGTTGAAGAATTTGAAACGAATTCATATTTCCTAGAACTAAACCAAGGTCATGAACTACATACAGTAACATAAGCCAAATGCAACAGAGCTAAAATCAGAAGATACCTAATACTGTTTTTGGTTTTTAATTTTACATAACATTAATTACTTTCCTAAATAACTAATTTATTGACTTCTCCAATCATTGATCTCGCCTGGAAACTATTCCAATAGTCTCCACAAAATTAATTGAATGAAAAGCCTGACTTCTTCCATAATTAATTATCATGTCCTCTGTTAACTCTCCGATCCTCTTAAAATTAAGGTGCTGCAAGAAATTAGTGAAATTTAACTAACTATTCCATCTAAGGTTTGACTAATTATATAATAATATGTGTTTAATGAAAGTGCATAGAATGACTCATTTGTTCTACCATTCAAGAGTATATAGTTTTATTTATTTTTTATTTTTTTATCATATATAGAAGGATTAAATACTAAATTATATAAGGGAACGGGTGAATTTCACCATCTAGAAAATATGTGCGTGTGTGTAGACAATATTTGGGTACCTCTTTAGTAACATTACTCCTCCCAACGTATTTCTCCTTCCATGACAAATTATGAATTACCTTTCATCCCCTTAATTAATTATGATAAGTTACTTTTCCATGGATAAAAAGGTTTTACTTGATCTTATCAAGAGGAATGACAATTCTGGTCCAATATCTTCTTTGGATTTGGTAAGTATTTCAATATTGTTCTAACCATTTTTTTTCATAAAAATAAAAATAAATAAAATAAATAATAAAATTGCAGTGATCATTTCATAGTTTATTATTAATTATTGATAAACCATTACACATCATCATTGCATGCTTTAAGAAGGAGGAATGAGGGTGTAACATTTTTTATCATTAAGTTTATTCCTTTCTTGTGTATCAAGTATTTTAAAAATTGCTTTCGAATCCGTAAATTAAATGCACATAATTTTATCGAACCAGGTTAAATCTTAAATAAGCAGGTTGTCCACATACCAGAAAGAGCAGCATCCAGACATGAATTCTGGCTCTGTTAGGCAAAGGAAAAGGCAAAAGCAAAGAAGAGTAGCCAAGGCATTAATTCTTTAGAGACAGCCACCGTGAAATGAATGCTTGCTGCTCTTACTAATTTCTGCGTGGTTCTCTTTCCATTATGTCTACAAGGGCTTCACCAACTTAAAACTCTTGTTATGGGACTCGTGACCGATTTCTCATCATTCGGTTTATCATTATAATTAATAATGAAATTGCTTGTAATATTCTAGTGAAATTAATTTATTTTCATTTTTTTTTGACTTTTTTTTTATACATAATTAACATTAACATTAATCTATCTTAAGTCTGCATGCATGTGTGAGATAGCGTTATTTAACTTTGATATAGTTATTTCTTATTCGAAGATAAGATTTTCTGAATTATAAGATGGTTATTCCAAAAAAAAAAAAAAGAACACAGCTTTGAGATAGTTATATTTTAGGACTAACTAAGCCATTATTATATGCCATTGTTTCAGAGAAAAAAACCAAATTTAAACATCGTATTGGTTTTTTGCAACGTAAATTTTCTTTAATTTGCTTTGTTAATCTCGTAATTAAGGTGCACAATAATATGAAATGAGGGTACTTCAACCTGATTTTTATCTTTTTCTAGACCAAAACCAAAGTTCTTTGCCTATAAATCTCTTAAAGATGAAGAAGGATTAGGGTAATCTATGATTTTTATCTTTTTTTTCTCGAGCACAACCAAATCCCTTTTCCTTTAAAACTCTTTTACACCAATATTGTATATTTCGCTAGTTTTCTTTTAAATCAGGACAACGACATTTTTCTTTTGTAAAAACTCTCTTTTAAGCCCTAAAATTCCCTTGTGACAAGTTGGAGAATCTATTGGGCCATGATATTAAGTCAATATTTCCAGATTTGTTTTTTTTTTTTTTTTTTAAAAAAAAAAAAGCTATCATGCCATGATCAAATATTGGAGAAATCACTTGAGATCTCAAATCTCCATATCAAGCCCACCTATAACTTGATGGAATCACTTCGTTTGAATCCAATGAGCCGGCCCAATAAGCCCAAACGTCTTGCGAAGGTCATGCCATTGTCCAAACACAAGTTATATTTCAGCATTTCAAGAATTTTTTTTTTCAACATGCCACCAAATATTTGCATGCATTTGCACAGACAAAATTGGATAGGTTTTATCAAATGAAACAATTTTCCTATTCTTCTAATTTTTTTAAATGTAGTTTTTGTATTTTTTTTTAATTTCTCACTTTTTTTTTTTTTTTAATATGGTTTCTTCGACTGTTTTTAGCTAATTTTCAAATTAAAATTAACAGTTGATATTAAAAATTTATGTCTGTCATAACACATCAGATTAATTTGTCTCATAAAAAAATCAAAAAAATTAAGAAACTACCTTCAATCACCTCTTAAAAGTTTTCAATTCTTCCCTTTAAATTTTCCAATCTCTCTCTTTTATCGGTGTTTTCATTTGCTACTTCACCCGATGGCTGAGGTGATTTCAAGATTTTTTTCTTGAAAAAAACTGAAGCTTTTATATATATATATATATATACACACGCACGTGGAATATTAATGGCTTTTAGTAAATTATAAATTAATTCCTTTTGTTTTGAGAAAAAAATTAATTAGTCTTTTTGGTTTTAAAAATAAATTATTTAGTTTTTTGAACTAGTATTAAATATGACTAATTTAATATTTTATAAAATAACTTCTTTTTTCATCAATATTTTTATATTTTTAATTATATTTTTAATTATTTTTCTATTTTTGAAAAAAAAATTAGTTTTTGAAACAAAGGATTAACTAATTGGGTTTTTGAAGCAAGAGGAACTAATTTATTATTTACTCCTTTCTGGGAATGCAGTGGGAGTAACAAGAAACAACCATTCGATGCTTAGTAGCAAGAAATTCTTGTCAAAAAAGAAGTTCACAGAGAAAATATCGGACACCTTTTCTGTAGATTTTGAAACAGAAAAGCAAAATTAACCAACCACTGTTCGTCAATTAAACTCATCATAGTATTTTGATAATTAACTGAATTACAATTTTCTTGTGATTACACTGAAAGGTCTTCCAGTGATATCAGCAAACGTTTTCCGCGGTCAAAACCACAAAAAGATATTAAATGTTTCCTCAGTCTCAACAAAAACCAGCAATAATTCTAGACAGATTCTTTGTAGTCGAAAGCACCTGTATCATATATAATGTGGAAAGACTATATCTCATTCACAGAACTTGGTTATGGTTTTTAGCAGACACTCAGGACTTAGCTCTGAAATCATGGGAGAAGATTGCAGAATGCAGCCTTAGCCCCAAATAACTCTTCTTCCTCCTTTCTTCTTATCAGACCATAAAACCTTAACTAGCCCTTCTGGCAGCCGTTTATGACGTAACAAATGATCATTCTGTATGGCTTATGTATGCATTTCTAGAATGGGATGCTGATCTAAGCGAATGAAATAATCCTAACAAAGACCTCCTCTGACTTCTGAAAGAAAATGCACGGGAAAGAGGAAAAAGATGATGCCATTTGCAAGGTCGTGTGTTGACTGTGAACAACGTCAGGATGGCCAGCATTTCCCAGCATGATATCTGCCATATCCAATATTTCAGCTGCTTATTTTCGATAAAACTAAAATAAAATCATTATTCATTGTTCATTCACTATTTAAAATACTATTCATATACTCATTTATTACTATTCACATACTCACAGATCATTATTTCTTTCACTATTCATATTATTTTTATAACCCTTTGATCTTCAATTTTTCTATATATTTTTTTTCAATTTCAAACTTTAATTATATTGTGATCTGATCCAGTTTTGTTTTAGTATTTTTTATTAATTATTTTTATTATTTAAAATTTACTATTTTAATTTTTTATTTTTTTAAAGTCTCTTTTTATTTCAGTTTCAAATTTTAATTTGTTAATTATTTTTATTATTTAAAATTTACTACTTTAATTTGTCATTTTTTAAATTCTCTTCTTTTTTTCAATTTCAAACTTTAATTATATTGTGATTTGGTCCCATTTTGTTTTTTTTTTGTTAATTATTTTTATTATTTAAAATTTACTACTTTAATTTGTCATTTTTTTATAAATTCTCATCTAATTAATTTAAAATTATATTTATTGACGGTTTTGATTTATTTTTCTATATGTATGAATTTTGGAATAAATTTTAGAACATGATTATTTTTTAAAAAAAGTAGATGTAGATAATTTTTAAATTATAGTGGCATGACTAATATATATAATTTGTTTGAAATACATTTTTAGATTAAAAGTGTATTTCAAATAATTTTTTTCGGTTTTTTTATATTATTTAAAATTTACTACATTAATTTGTCATTTTTTTAAATCTTTTTTTTTCAATTTCAAACTTTGATTATATTGTGATTTGGTCCCATTTTGTTCTAATGTTTTTTGTTAATTATTTTTATTATTAAAATTTATTTTTAATTTTTTTAATTTTCATCCAATTAATTTAAAATTATAGTTACTAATAGTTTTGACTTGTTTTTTTTATATGTATGGATTTTGGAATAAATTTTAAAAAATGTGATTATTTTTTCTTTTGAAAAATAGATTTAGATAACTTTTAAATTATAGTGGCATGATTAATATATATAATTTGTCTAAAATACATTTTTAGATTAAAAGTGTATTGTAAATAATTTTTTCTCATTTTTTTTAGAAAACAACTCAAATTAATTAATAGTTGAAAGTCAAATGTGAAAAATAAGAAGAGGATGGTTGCTTCTGCACTTGAGGCCCGTATTCAAGCACTAGCCATGTATAGAATAGAAATAAAAATAAAAAAAATTAAGGAGGAAAAAAAAGAAAAAGAATTCACATGTTTTATAAATTTGTTTCTTCTTTATATAATCAAAATTAATAGATATCAAATTTGTAATAATTTTTATTTTAGTCTATTAACTTCAAGTTTAGTCAATAGATTCTTTGCAAGTTAACTTTTTTTTATATAGTATTTTTTGTCTTAGATCGAAAACTATAAACTCACTTAGTATAGTTATGATGTATAAAAAAATATTTAATCATTGTTTTTTTATAAACTGTGCAACTACTACTACACTAAGCATTTACTATTTATTTATTTATTTTTGAATATTTTAAAATTTATTTATTTTAAATTAAATAATTAAAATTATGTTTTGGCTTAACCACTCAATGATTCAAATTAATATAGTTTTAAATTTTAATATTATTCATTCTTTTGTAAGTAATTATATAAAATTTATATTTATATTTTTTCAAAAATCGATATTCTCATCAACATTAAATAAAATAAAAAATTTTCAATTCTATGTAAGCTTTTAATAGTTGTTATTTATGTTTTTTGACACAATCTTATGAAATACTGAAGTTTTTTTGAAAAAAATTATTTAATTTTTTCTTTTTAGTTAATAATCAATGGATTAACAAGGATAAATTCTTTTTTTAAATAAAAAATTATGAAAAATATAAATAAGAAATAGCTAAATACAAAAAATTTTATTAAAAAATTATAAATATATTTTTTATTTTTTAGTTCATATATTTTTATAGATTCACGTTATAAAACAGATCATCATATTGAATTTATATATTTTATTCGAAAAAACTAGTTTAGATCTAAAGATTTTTCAATGCGATCTTAACCACCATGTGTCGACAATTGACGCAGCCCATACGTTTACAAGTCAAATAGCGTTTGGCCCTGTACTTATCTTTATAGTATTTCTCATTGTTTTTGTTGCTGCAACATAGAACAAACAATTGCCACTAGCAGCGTTATTTAAGGCGCATTGAACAACAACAGGTTTACTTTGTCTCTAAGCCTGAAACACTAAAGAAATTGCCGACAACTTGTTCGACGTCATGCCAATTTTGAATTGGTACAGACAACAGAGTTGGTGGATTTACATTTACATTCCATGTCAAACGTATCCAATCTTATCATATGAAATGGGAGAGACTGTGTGAGAGAGAGGGAGAAGAAAATTTAAGAAGGGATTGAGGGTAGTTTCGTTATTTTACTAATTATTTTGTTTTTCATTTTTTATACATATGGCAAATTAATCCGCCTATTATGCCACGTTAAATTTTTTTTTTTATGTCAACTATCAATTTTGATTAGAAAATTAATTGAAAAACAATCAGAAAAATTGCATTAAAAAAAATTCAAGAATAAAAGAAAATGACAAATAAAAAAAAGTATATGAACCCCATTAATAAAATTAAAAAAAAAAGAAAGATGTTTCATGCGATTAATATATTAGTCTCCAGATGAAATATAATTTCCTTGTTTTGTCGAGCAAAATATAAAATTAGTTGTTTTAGTTTCAAAAAATGAATATATTAGTCTTTCTTGTTTTAAAAACTAATTATTTAATTTTTTGATAAATGTTGAACATGTTTAACTTAATATTATTTTATATAAAAAAATCTTTTTGCAATAACTATTTTTTTTCTTTTCTTTTTTTGAAAAAAATAAAATAAATAAACAAAAAGATCTAAATAATTAACTTTTAAAACAAGATGACTAATTAATTTATTTCTCAAAACTAAAAGGACTAGTTAATTTATTTCTCTAAACTGAAAGAACTAATGTTTGAATTCACTCTTCTTTTGTCTCACAGTCTATTAGGTATCATTGGGTTGTAAAAAAATAAAATGTCTGAAATAACATTTATATTCACATATTATGTTTGAAATACTAATAAAAAATCAAAATAAAATTTTATTTTTTTAATATCTAGTTTTTACTATAAATAAAAATAATAATTAAAAAAATAATTTTATCAATTATGAAAATAGTAAAAATAATAAAAGTGATTGTGAAAAGTAGAAGGATGAAGAGAAAGTAATAGTAATATCAATAATATAATTTAAAAAAACTGATGCCATCACCATATTAGGTGGAAGTAAAAGAAGAGTGAAGGTAGTGATAGTACAATAAAAATGATTGTGCTTGTGAAAGAAGATTGGTGATAAAAAAATAACAATAATAATTTATTTTAACATCATCACCAACATAGATGGTGATGATAGTTGTGGTACTAATAAAAATAATTAATACATAATAAATAAAAATAATATCATTATTTTGAGAAAAAATTATTTTTATTTTTATTCTCGTTTTTTAACGAGAATGAAGATATGAGTAATTTTTATTTCTATTTTTATTTTTTATTTATATTTATATTTTTTATTTTTATTTTCAATCAAATATTTAGAATGTGAGAATAAAATTTTTATTTTCATTATGTTCACTAAACAGTATTTTAAAGCTTAACAAACAAAGAGATTTTTTGTGGAAATTTTCTTTTCTTTAAAACTATCTTACTTCATCTTTTGTTGACAAAAACTTGGGTAATTTTGCCAAGGAAAGTTGAAGGGCCTAATCAATGTTGTACCACCAAAGATAGCATGATGTGACTAATCACCTAATCTTTTTATAAGTCTCCCAAAAATACTATGCAAAACGAATTATTTGTAAAATATTATCTATGTTGTCTAACTCGAATTGGTTTCATTTCTCCTCAGCTATTGGTTTAGTACTGATTTCCCAACAATGACATCTATTTGGTTGAAAACAAAGAAAATCATAAACAAAGGAATTATTTAAGATTGAAAACAAGCACATACCAACAACTTTTAAGCTCCGTAGTCAACCAAATGATTTTCAAGGAATTTTTTATTATTATGTAGATCTTAAATTTTAAAATTATATTTATTAAAAAAAATAAATTTCATCGTTTCTATTTTGAAAAAAATTAGAAATATTTCTAATATAGAATGAAAATACTTAAAAAACAAAATAAATGCATTTTTTTCAGTGGTCAAAATAATAATAATAATAAAAAAAAGACAAATATTGCTCTTACGTTAATTTTGGTGCTTTTTAACGTAAAGACTAAATGTTAGTTTTTCCAAAATAATTTTGAAAAGAAGAATGTATAGACAGAAGTTAAAGGTGGTCTTAATAATAGTAGATGCTAACAACATAAATGAAATAAAAAATCTTTTTGTTCGACAATAGAACTTATTTGCTACAAACCTTTTATTTGTTTATTTTTTTAAGCTTTTGTTGGTTATAAATTCGATGTTATATATATATGAAATTGTTAATCTAGAATCTTTTATTTGCATATATTACAAAAATAATTGTATCCTATATTTTATATTACTACAAGTTTTTATTTTAGAATTAATTAGGTTGTAATAGTTTTGGGCATTTTTTGATAGTTATTCTTCATTTTAACCACACCACTTTAATTGTCTATAAACCTATAAAAATTCAAAATTATCAAATAAAAAAGTCAGTTTAATCCTTCAAATGCACAATCATGTGCAATTTAACTACAAGGGTTGGTTTGTATTCGAAAAAAACACTTGGACGAACTGAAATTATAAATCATAAATCATAATTTCTTTTTCCTCGTTATATAGTTAAAAATAGGATTGATCAATCAATAATAAGTAATGCATAAATAAATAAATACAGAATGATAATTACATATGAATTTTTACATAAAAAATCTAACATGAAAAAAATCATGAAACCGTATTTCACTCAAACTCCTTCATCATATCAAATAATAAAACACAAGATACAAATTTTTATGTAGAAATCCTATGTAGAAAAAATTCACGTAACCGTAATTCACTCAAACTCTTCAATTATATCAAATAATAGGATATAAGGTTTTTTTTATAAAAAAATTTAACTAAAAATATATATCAAATCATTATTTCAACAATAATGAAAAAAAAAAAACTAGATCTGATCAATTAAGTTTTTTTTTTAAAACAAGTACATAAAAATAAAAAATTGTCAACAATCAATACCTTTTAAATTGAAAAGCTCGTTGCTATAAATGTTATATTAAAACTTTCATAGGACGAAAGCAATAAAAGTGAAGTGCATGCCGTTTCTTCTCTGTCCGTCGGCTAAAGCTCTCAGTTCCATTTTTTTTTTTTTTTTTTCAGCTGCTGCGCTGGGTTGTGTTGGCTGCCTTTCGTTGCAGAATCAAAAGTTTTTTTTTTAAAAAAAAAGTGGCTTTAATAATTGGTCCTTACGTAACTGTTTAGGTCGGTTTTTATTCTTTTCTTATTTTATATACATGGGTTTAAGATACCCCTTGAAGAGGGATTGAATCTCCTTATTTATTATTATTTTTTTAAATTCAAACTGCAAACATTCAGATAATCTTTTTTTTTAATGCATCAGTATTACATGAAAAATGTATTTTTAAAATCATACGAGAAGAAAAAATTAATTTTAATTAATGAGTAAATGGGTTTATCGATTTTTTTAAAAAATATAAAAAATAATGAATTTAAAAAAAAACAATGGTCTATGTGCTTAATTATACAAGGCGATAATTCGTTAATAAGCAAATGTTAACTTGTTGATTTTTATGACTATTATTTTTAATAATTTATTTTTAAAATATTCAAAATTCATACATTGAAAGTTACCTCTTAATTGATCACATTTAAAAATTAATTAATTTTTAAATATGTGAAAAATAATCTGAAAACACATTTATTGTTAAAAAACAAAACTATTTATATAAATATGTGGACGCCATGGTGGACCACATCGAACTGTAGTGTGGTGGAATCCCTATCGCTAAGCATTTCTTAAAGAAAAAATTTATGGTTTGAATCCAAGGGGCGGTCCAGCGGCAATAGCCAAATAGTTTGGCGACAGGTCATTCATGGTTCTGTTGCTTTTCTAAAAAGCACCAAATAGTTGCATTTGTAGTGAAAAAAATGGACTTCTCTGTCTCATACCCTTTAAGGGTTCACAAACAATTGACGTGGGGGTATCTTTTATCTTTATCCTTATCTTTGTCTTTGTCTTTACATCCATTTTCCCCATGAAAGCTAGGTTATTTTTTCTTTTTGTGGAGTCAAGGGGCAAAAAACTTCCACTCCCAGCTCGTTGCACCTAGGGGAGGTCAAAAGCCAAATTGATGTTTTTATATAAAAATAAGGTATGATGTGACGAATCATTTCTCTACTTTTTAAGTCTTTGAAAAATAGGATATACAATATCGTCTGTCATGTTTCTAATTGGATTCCATTTTTTCTCAACTATAGTTAGTATTGACGTCTCCGAAAATGACATCTATTTGGGACATATATATATATATATATATATATATATATATATATATATAAAGGGTACCAGTGAAGATTAAAAATAGTAAAAAAAACACCTTTTCTTGGTGGCAAAAAAAAAAAAAAGAGAGCAAATAATGTCTTTGGTCGATGTTGGTGCTCTCAAAAAGGGAAAGAAATGTTACCTCATCTAAATTAATTCACAATTTGTGGGATTGTCTTTCCTAAATGATTCACTAACTTTTTATGGCTTTGCCCCTTTTTTTATAAAAAGAAAAAAAAATATATATATATATCGTAAAAAAGAGAAAAAAAAATACAAACCATTAGATGGAAGCCCACTCGTAAACAAACGTCGATTTATAAATTTATTTTTAAAATATTCAATATCGTATGTTAAAAAATATATTTTAATAACGTTTGAAAAAAGATTAGTCTTAGGCTCCGATGGTTTTGAACAACTTTTTTGAGTTACATGATTTTATTATTTAAGTTTGAAATTTTATATTATCTATAAAAAAATATTGTTTGATATAAATTTGCTTAAATTTCATTATTTGACTTTTTATTTAAATATAAGATATTTTAAATTTATGGAGATTTATTTGTTAACCCATTGAAGACGGTCAATCTTTTAATACGGATTCTAATCTTTAATATCGTAAAATTCGTATTGTTAAACATTATTATTAGAAATAAAAAAGCATATAGATATACAAACACAAAAAATTATTACAATAAAAAAGCATTCCCCGCCAGTTCAAAGTCACCGAGTCACGTCTCTTTATTCATGAATCACAGGTAAAGTTGTGCATTAAATAATAACAAAAAAAGACTACGTCGTTTTTTGTTTCCCGGTACGATTCTCGCCTGAATATATTTATTGTCTCTCTCTCTCTCTCTCTCTCCCCCACCCTTTTCCCTATAGCAGATATAATTCCTCCCAATTTTATTCTCAATTTCAAAAATCCTTCACTCTCCTGTAACCAAGCAGAATTTGATTCGTGCATAACTTGATTCTTCATTTATGCAGTTTTGAATTTTAGATTAAGAGTTGAAAGAAAAGAAAAGAAAAGAAAAGAAAAGAAATGATCAGCTAATTTTAATTATAATGATGAAGAAGAATAAATTAACGAGAAAGATAGGAAAGTATGAAGTTGGGCGTACAATTGGGGAGGGAACCTTTGCGAAGGTCAAATTTGCACAAAATAGAGAAACAGGAGAGAGCGTCGCCATGAAAATTCTTGCCAAATCAACCATTCTCAAGCACAAAATGGTTGATCAGGTAAATAATTTCTATTTAATCTCTCTCTCTCTCTCTCTTTAACGTAATTATCGTATTCTTGAGCTGGAGAGGAGGTAATTAAGGTTGACTTTTGGTTGGCAGATAAAAAGAGAGATATCAATCATGAAGATTGTGAGACATCCTAACATAGTTAGGTTGCATGAGGTAATCTTTTCTTTTTACTGGTAATATATGGCCGTTTTTTGAATTATTTTTGTGGTATTATTGCTTTGTTGTTTTGATTGATTGATTGTTGATTGAATTCTAGGTTTTGGCTAGCCGGACGAAGATATATATTATTCTTGAGTTTGTCACTGGGGGAGAATTATTTGATAAAATTGTAAGTTTTTTAGTTTCTCTGGTCTTAATTTGTTTAGGAAACGATGAGAAGAATAATGCAAGTGCTTAGTTTAGCAAATAACTGATGGATTTTGTTGTTGCTTGATGTGGATGGATTTTTAGGTTCATCAAGGAAGACTTTCGGAAAATGAATCGAGACGGTATTTTCAGCAGCTTATAGATGCAGTTGCTCATTGTCACGGGAAGGGTGTGTACCACAGAGACCTGAAGGTGAACAGATTGATTAGTTGAGCATTTGACTTGTAGACTTTATGATTGGGCCTGCCCTGATTAATTTTTTTATTTTTTATTTTTTGCAGCCCGAAAACCTTCTTCTTGATGCTTTTGGAAAGTTGAAGGTTTCGGACTTTGGATTGAGTGCATTGCCCCAGAAAGTAAGCATGTGATTATCTTACTTCAAATAAAATACATATATGTACTATTAATTTTTCTTATTCATCCATCTCTAACTGTTTGTTTTTTGTCCATGTTTGTTTGCGCTTAAATGCAGGGGGTTGGACTTCTTCATACGACATGTGGAACCCCAAATTATGTTGCACCTGAGGTATATTCTCGAAAGGCAAAGAGGAAATATATGATTTGGTATCTCGTGCCTTTGCTAATGCGTTATGTTCTATTTCAATAATTTGCCATCTTTTCCAGCATTTGACACCCTGGACTTTTGTATGATTTTCGTTGCTGAGATGCATCCTTTTCACAGGACATTTCTCTCTGTTTCTGTTAATTTGTTATTTGTTATGGGGAAGGGGTTGCTGCTAGAGGACATGCGTAAGTCCAATGCTGCATTGAGTTGAGGATTATATTGGAGGATAGAGAATTGAACATCACTATGTTTGAGTTTGTTTGTTGCTGATATTTTGAACCTAATTTATTTTCTGGGGAACTAATTCTTCCTCATCCATTGTACATGAACTTTTCTTCACTGCTTATCTGCAGCTTCCCTGTTTCTTATAGCAAGTAATTTGCATTTCTATAATTTCCATGTAGTTCAATCATAAATGGAACTTCCTTCATTTATTTCCTGGTGCAGTATTGCTCCTCTGTTTTCTTATCACAATTTCTTTGTAAACAACTGCGTATCAGGTGCTTGGCCACCAGGGTTATGATGGGGCTGCTGCTGATGTGTGGTCATGTGGAGTCATCCTCTTTGTTCTAATGGCTGGATATCTTCCATTTCAGGAGATAGACCTTCCAACCTTGTATCGAAAGGTTAGCTGTCTTCATTTTTTTTTTTTTTTTGGAGGAAGTGAACAAAGTGCATCTTTTTTGTCACTTAGTTAATTCTTTCCAAAAAAAAAAAAAAACCTTTTGTGCACTCATTCTGCAAGGGCACTTTTAGTCATTACAAAGTGTTCCTGGTTTGTTTATTAAAAGCATTTCAAGCAGCCACCCTTGTTCTTTTTCTTTACTTGCAGTTTTGCACATACAATTACTTAGCAATAGCAGGCTTTTGTGTTCCTTTTCTTTTGGCTGTTCTGGGTACTTATCCCCACGTGTTTACCTAACATGCTCTGATACCCTTGCATTTCTCTTAAGCATGCATGAAGAAATGGTGAAAAGGCCCTTGGTCACCTTGTTCCATTCCTCAAGGGCAACCTTGCTTGTTGTGCTAAGTTTTAATAATTTATGTATTTATAACTTCCACAAGCATGATGTGGACATTCCTAACTGTTTTTCTGGTTGGTGCATAGATAAATGCTGCGGAATATTCTTGTCCATATTGGTTTTCTCCTGGAGCGAAAGCATTGATAGATAAGATACTCGATCCCAATCCAAAAACTGTGAGTATTTTACTTCATTATATCAACCTTATAACTGGGACTTTGCACTGGAACTTAAATGCCTCCATGCAAAACGACTGTGGTCTGAATCCCATCATGCCTCAAACCCTGAAACTTATGATTAGCAAGCTCTTGAACATCAGTTCAGTACACTTCATATTCATGATATTCTTTTCATCTGAAAAGAATTGGTTCCCTGTTGCTGCAGCGTATAAGGATTGAAGGAATTAAAAAAAGTCCATGGTTTCGGAAAAACTATGAGCCTGTTGGACACGGTGAAGAAGAGGAAGTGAATTTGGATGATGTTAATGCAGTTTTTAATGACATTGAGGTTGGTATCATCACTTTTAAAATACTAATGCAAGCTTACCAAATTCTGGAGTTGAGAGTATGCTATCATTACAAATGCATTGTCACATGCATCATCTGATACTCCCGTTTTTCCTGTGGTTTTTTTTTTTTCACTTTCTTATGGTACCATAATTTTCCCTGATGACCTTCAGACATCATTTTCTCTGTCTTCTATGCTTTTTAACTTCTCTTTCTACTTGGTAATTCTTGGAATTACAGGATCATTATGTGGCAGAGCATTTGGAGAAGAGTGAGGGTGGTCCTTTGGTGATGAATGCATTTGAGATGATTACCCTATCTCAAGGACTGAATCTATCAGCATTGTTCGACAGACGTCAGGTACTGTAACTTTTTAGAGTTAGGCTGCAAGTTATGGCCAAAACCAGTTTCTAGCTTGTTTTAGTGCAGGGTTCTGGAGTTGAATTTTGTGCGAGGATAAGATAATTTGATAAAAGAAAAGCAAAGAATAAGATAGTGTTAAGAGTCGTGGTCAAACTTCCTGAACTTTCCATCTATTAAAATGTTATCTATGGTATCCAGCACTGCTATTGTCATTGTAATGGTGAACAATATTAATCTTGTTGCTCCTTTTTGTTGCTTCCTTGATTTCTTATAGTTGCTGTGGTTATTAGACCTTTGCTTTGGTTCAAGCAGTTTGTGATAATATCTCAAAGTGCTCATATGTGTGTTGGCTGATGGTGCACTTTTCCTGGCAGGATTATATAAAGCGGCAAACGCGTTTTGTATCCCGCAAACCTGCAAAAGATATAATTTCAGCAATTGAAGTTGTTGCAGAATCGATGAGTCTCAAGGTCCACACTCGTAATTACAAGGTATAACTTGACTTGTTATACTTGTATGAAATCCCAATTTAACATCTTCAGTAATGTTCTTGGCATGCTGTGCTGCTATTTTGCCACAGATCATGTTGTCCCAGTTTGGTGTTAACCACTGATAAGTTGCCTGCATGTCTCAAATAACATATTCTGCTCAAAACTGCATGGTTTGATGCAGCAATTATATGGATTTTACCTGGAAACATTTTTTTTCCTTTTTGTCTGAAATTGGACATTGTAATGATAAGAGAAGACAAGACTGGGAAGTGTTACGAAGAGCAAATGCAGACCAGGAAATAATTAAGCTAACTACTTAGAAAGCTCATGCCGCTGCAGAAAAATAATTGGCAGAAAATTCAGCTACTGAGCTGATCTGGCGACGACATAGGGGTTAATGATCTTGGTTTATTGGGTTCTGATATGTTGGATATCAATATAATTTAATGAGCTTGTCTCCATTTTATTGCTATTGATATTGAAAAAAAATTCTCAGACAAGACTTGAAGGAACCTCTGAAAGTAAGGCTGGACAATTTGCAGTTGTTCTGGAGGTAACTTCGTAGATTTCATTTCGTTCCTCTCTCTATCCAATTTCTCTAATCTGCTAAAACTAAGGCGTCGGTGGTTTCAGAACCAGAACTATACTAAAATCAGTTGTCTTTCATGCTTAGATTTATGAAGTTGCTCCGTCACTTTTCATGGTAGATGCCCGGAAGGCTGCTGGGGAAACTCTTGAATATCACAAGGTGAATTCATTTAAATCCTGAAATTTTTGCCCTGCCATCTAGAAATCACACACTCTCTCTTTTCTTTGTTTTTAAGATTATGATAATGTTGCCTAATTCTCCATATGCATAAATAGTAGTGATAAGAACCTGGGGCCAGGGGGGTTCTTGCTAACGTATGTGCTATATGTATCAGCAGAAGTAACTTGAGTAACTCACTGGAGTTAAATCCCATTTTGTCTATATGGACTTGTTATTTCTGAAAAGTCGAAAATGCTGGCTTGTTATGTGATTTTCATTTTGCTATTCTAGCCATCAAGGATCGTATTTGCTACATGGCCTCAGCACCTTTTTTTGTTCTTTCATTCTTAAAACGTGCATACACAGGACCTTACTGATATGTGTATATAAAAGTCATACGTAGGCTATTTCATGTTCGATAACCTGCGACAGCCTGTTCTTCACATTTGAATCATTGAAAGCTCTAATATTGACTTCCTACTGTTGATTAATTTCAATAACTTTTTCTTATGGTTTGCAAATAAATCTAAGAATCCTTCATAGCTGCTACCCTAATGATAATGGATGGTGCTGGCATTACACACATTACAGATTTTTCCTTCACTCGTATCTACAGTGAGACAGCTAGCATGATTTTATGAGTGTTTGCTATCATAATGAAAGTTTAAAGGTCATTAATTTGTTGCTGATGGTGATTTAGAAGTCAACAGTTTGCTATTGTTGCTATTATATATATTCAGATTTTATAATAGCCTCTAAGGCTATCGTCACTTCGTTTATCTTCCAGCACCGGTAACCCCTATATCATTGGCTTCCTTTCCCTTTCAGTTCTACAAGAACTTCTGCGCTCAGCTAGAAAATATCATCTGGAAACCTCCAGAGGGTGCAAAAATTCCAGCCTGCTTCGAACAATGACTTGCCGATCCAGTTTTATTGGGTGTGAAGCAAATCAGAGAGAAGAAGGGCAGAAAGGAAGAAATTCCTCCCGACAAGAACTTCCAGAAAATACACATTGATGGCACGACAGTGTACTACTTTCTGGCTAATATTATTATTGTGTGTAAATTATAACTTACTTGTATTGTAGAACTTGAGACTTGAGATTACCTAATACTTTTAACCCCTGCTTTCCCCACTACCAAAAAAAAAAAAAATCATCTGGACGGGAAGAAAATCCTCGCGTGCAGGAAAATGGTCAAGGTTCGTCTGTATATCTATTAGTGGAAATATTTGACTTTTCTTATTGCCCTTTCATTGCAAATGAAATGTTGCATTTGGTTGGATTTTGAAGATAAATTTACAACCAGCAGCATCCCTAGTTGAAGTTATCTCCATTGCCACCGCCGCATCTATCCCCCTGCACTGATGCTTCTCCCACATCAGATCCTCCACGTTCTTTCTCTTCTGCCTGATTGTCTTTGCTTGAATTTGCCGTGACTAAGCTTATCTTCAACCTTCCTACTCTTCTTTTCTCTTCAATTTTTTTTATTGTTTATTTTGGATCCTCAAGATATCATAAGACTAAATTTCTCGTTGTTTTGTGGGTGTACAAGGTGGGTATGACTATTTAAAGAATTTTTTTTGTATATATAAAACCTTGAATATGAAATTATTTATTTAAAATATTGTAAGACTAAATTATTTTGGATTTTCAAGATATCATAAGACAAATTTCTCGTTGTTTTGTTGGTGTATATAGTGGGCATAACTATTTATTTATTTATTTATTTATTTATTTTTTTATGTATATAAAAACTCAAAAACGAAATTACTTACTATTAGAGATTTTTTTTGCGAAGTCAATCTTCTTAAATAGATAGGAATTCTTTAGCTCAAGTCAATCTTCTTGGTTTTGAGAAGGGAAGCTGGCATTCTCTTGTCCGGATGTTTTAATGCTTCAATAGATACATGTGTTAAGTAGTAGGAAGACTTAACACGTGGCCATCGGTCTCCATGCCAAAAAAAAAGGGAGAACGTGACTAGAGCAGGAATGCATGATGTTTCTGAAAAAGAACACAAGTGGCAGTCTAAGCCAAACATGTCCACTTTTCTTTTCAACAAAAAACAAAGAAAAAAAAAACATGAAAACAAATGAATTTCCAATCAATGTTGGATCTCAAGTCCCTAGTGGACTAGTTGGCATTATAAGATGATTTTTTTTTTTAAAAAAAAACCAAAGTTTAGTAAAGGTTGATCAACATGATAAAAAATAACAAGTAGCTACATTCCATTGCTTACAAAACATGAATCAATTACAGCCAACTTCTGCAACATGTTTTTCCAAGTTGGATCTAGTTTTCCATGATGCTAAAATGATAAAAGACAGAAATAAAACATAGTTGTATCCCTGAAAAAAAAATAACACAAAATAACAAATACAAAAAGGTTTCACTGCTACATGTAATACTAACATTAATGTAACCTAGGATATTGCCTAAAAATTTCAAGGCTGAAAGTACTTATCTCCACATTTGCACTTCCATGAGAGGAGGTAATAGCCATCGTCCCTTTTAGATGATGATGGTTCTCCGACACCGTTTTTATGATGGGGGGAGTAACTAGAGCAGCCATGCAAGGTTTACAATTGAAGCACCTATTGACACATTGAGGAGGCCTTGAACCCAGAACCATTTTCTTTTGCTTCATATCCTCACTCCCTTTCGAAAACGTAGATGATCCAACTGCCAAAAAAGAACCATAAACGACACAAAAAGAATAGCAACAAGAAGGAATTCCCTTTTTTTATGCGCTAAGTTATTTAGCCTAGTAGTGGCTGGAAAACTCAGATCAGTTTTTTACCTGATATAGGGGGGAAAATGTGAGGGAAAAGCATAGAATCACAATGACTGTAACTCTCAGACCGTTTGAGGATTCTGTCACTGGAGCCATGAGTCTTGTCAAATGGGGAAAGAGGAAACACAGGAGGGATCTGCGAAGAGATAGGGAAACTATTGAAACAATGATATGATTCTTGTTCTCACATGATGTTATAAGGTATTGTTTAGTTAAAAAAAAATCTCAGTTCGAGGGTCCCAACAGAGCTGGCTTCGTAGCTTTGTTCTGATGGCTCATTTCAAGCAATAGTTACGATCCTGTTCAGGTTTCAGCGTGAATGACTGAAGTTACATTTTTTTTTTATCTTTTCTTAGTTGACTTGACTCCTTTTTCAGACCATCGAAGTACTTCTCTGTCACCAGTTCTTTTTCTCTTGTCCAAAACACAAACAAATAGGGCAAATATTTTAACCCGCAAGTTAAGACACCCCTTTTTGGTCATCACCAGACACAAGATTAGCCAATCCTGCTGTATCATTCCACTTGTTACTGCTTTTAATTCAATTACGCCATTCATCGTCATGATCCTATCCCAGTACCCTCTAATTTCTAACCATCTACAGGAAACTTAACTTTAGTCCACCTTTTTTCCAGGTTGCAGCAGCTTTATGGACTTTGGATTTGATACTTGCGATGAGGGGAACCGGGCAGTGTTTTGTAATAGCAGACAGGGACATAAACTATTCTTTAGTTAGCGTATACAAACTGTACTGGGATTGTAACTTTGTGCAAGTTATGATATCTTCGCTTGCCTTAATCATCATTCACCATTAGTAAAATCCTCTGTTGCTAAGAATTTAATCCTGGATGGGAAATGCAAGCAGAGCATAAATGGTGACCAGACATTAGAATGGGGATAGTACTAGTGAGGATAGCTGGTGGTACTTGCAATGGTAGTCCTTGTTAAACATGCATTATTTAGCCCCTTCCTACATCCTAGACAAGTTGTCTTCCATGGAGACGGAAACAAACAGGAGCCATTTTTAAGATTCTTCCAAATGTGCCTATAATGTGTAGTCACTGTATGTGGTACTGAACTCATCTGGTCCTCACTTCCAAAGCATGTTTGGGTTTCAAGCTATCAAGTAAATGCGACTAGAACTACTACTCATACTTGATGGTCCTTCTGTTGATGGCATAAACAGTGTCCTATCTAGTCGCTGCCACCACCATGACTGCCTTTACTTCGTCTCCTCTCCATCAAACCCAAAACCAGAGACCACCTTGTCAGGTTTCTGCTTATGCAAACATTGCTACCACTGCTTTTAACAGATTTTGGCAATCTACCATCAGAACTGCCACCGTCAGTCCGGAAATAGCCGGGGTGGTTAATCCAAATTAGAGGTCATAGATTCAAATTCTGGAATCAGTGGTTTAGATTCCTGCAGTAACATTCTTTGAACAGAAATGGATTATACAACACAAAGGAAACATCACATTTTATTGAAGTAGTTGCAGAGTACAATTCCTATACAAAGAGAAGCCAGAAATACCAGGACTTCGTTTTAGAGAGAGAAAGAAACAACTGAAATCAAGTTTTCATGGCAAGAGATGAACCAGCTGCTACTGCCAAAGCCTGCAAATCTGAGGCACCCCACTATAGAACTGCCCAAAGCAACCGTCTTATGATCTTGAACGAAAAGAGAACACACGATAACCACAGAGGAATGCACCATAACCAAAGAGGAACATATGATAACCACGAAACCATCTGCGAAGGAGAGTTTCGAGCACTGAAAGACTTCTACAGAAGACACTTGAAACCAAGGACTGATTAAAACAAGTGTTCTTTTTTTGGATAATAAAACAACAGACTTCGTACGATTGGAACAAAGAAAGCTTAGTCAAGGCATAAAGCATCAAAGGAAGGCAAGACAAAAGCTAAAACACCGGGTATGTTACATCCAGCAAAACATAACAAGGACCAAAGATGATTTAGGAAATGGAGTAGCCACAAGTGGAATTCAAACTAGAGCTTGGTAAATGTATTCTCAAGAAACCATGGCCATGAAAGAGGAGGCCTCCCATCAATGGGGGCAAAACATATACAACAGGCTTTCTGTCTGAAGAAAGCCTGCAAAAAAAAAAAAAAGGGTGGAATGGTGATCTGCCAAAGTTCCATGGAAAACAACCAAGCCGCTCAGTTACTAGCAGCCCCACTGATGATGGGTCAAAAACTACGCTGAATGCCGCTACCCGTGTGAACTAACTATATGAAACTTATCCTTATACTATGTATAGACAAACTGGAGTTCATGAACTTCCGGATTCAGTTCAACGCCTTTGATTCGACCGATTTGATTTAGAGAATGAGCATCTATTTTTCCTCCCTGATTATGTGAGGATATCGCATCTCCACAAGCTCTCTACAAGCAGCTCAACTGTGCTGCTGCTAATTGAACTGCAGTTTTGGAGGTTCAATCCCACCAGGGTCCGGCCCATTTTCTTTAGGCAAGGCAGGCTCTTGTTTGATACTTCAGAACATCCTGATAACGATAGGACTTGAAGATTGAGCTGCTCTGCACTTGACAGGATAGCAATGCCAGAATCAGTGACTGCACACTTTGACACATCTAGATCACTGAGAAACAGACAATTTTCAGCAATTGCAACCAAGCTAGCATCAGTGATCTTTCGGCAACCGTCCAGATTCAGCAATTCAAGGGTTCCACCATGTAGCCTAGCCAAGGCTGAAACTACTTCATCGTTCAAACTCATGCAGTCACTAAGATTCACCTTCACAAGACCTGCCTCACAAGTCTCCAACAGTGGCAGAAGCCCAGCATCTGTAATTCTGCAAAGCCCGCTTAGGTCAACATGCTGAAGCTGAGGGCACAGCTTCCCTACCATAGCCAAGCTGGCACTGCCAAATCCTGGGCAATTTCTAATGGACAAATATCGGAGAGAACTGCAAGGAGAGGGCACTGGCATTCTGAAAGCCATATCCTTAATTCCCATGCACTTCACAAGACTAAGAGCTTTCAACTTTGTTCCACAGTTTGAAAGTACACCAACGATCCCTGACTGGGTAACCCTGTTACATTCTTCCAATTGCAGACTCTCAAGAGATCCTGCAGCTTTGGCAAATGCTACCAACCCATTATCAGACACAAAACAACACTTACGGAGGCACATCTGCTTCAGATTCACAGAACCCTTTGCAATAGCTTCAAGACTCACATCTGTTATCCCCCGGCATGAAGTAATTGTCAAAGACGATAATTTTTGCAAACCTTTTGCATTACCCATGACCCAAAAGCCTTTCTCACTAACATGCTGGAGACCACTAAGGGAAAGATTCATAACAGCTTTTCCATAGTGCCCGATTACGGCAAGAGAGAAGTCTGTGATGTTCAAAGCCTGAAGCTTCACCCTTGTTAATACAGAAGAAGCTGATGATAATAGACTTGATACTCCATGATCCCCAAGAAGAGGGCAGTCTTTAACAGAGATTGACTGCAACTTGGGGCAAAGCTTTCCGATAGCTTGCAAGCCTTCATTACCAATCATAGAACAAGATTCAATATTCAAAGAACTCAAATTAGGGCAGTTCTCAGCAATTGCAATCAAACCCTTGTTAGAAATTGAAGGGCAGTTGGAAAGGTCAAGCTTCTCCAACAAATGGCATTCTTTTGCGATCTCAAACAGACCTTCATCCCCAACAAAAGGAACGTTCCATAAAGAAAGAGCCCTAAGAGAAGGGCAACCACGGGCTATTGCTGATAGACCAAGGTTGGTAACCCTACGAACAGAGTTACTTCCCCTGATCAACAGCTTGCCCAGGCCCCCACGGCTACTTGTCCCAACAGCAATGGCAGCAAGTCTCATATCTGTTGCTTTCTTTCCTTCCAAGGACCTGGTAAGGTACCCATCACTCTCGACTTCCCTGTTGTCTTCACAAGAGACCATTTCAACATCATTACAAACAGCAGGTGCTGTTTCCTTTTCTTCATCTTCAGTATTGCTATTGCAAAATTCAGACCTCCTGATACTGCTCAAAAGCATAAGCCATTTCTTGGAGACACAGGCACAGGAACTCCTCTCTTTGCCTTCAGGAACGCGTCTGAAGATCTCAAAAAGGCATTCATCTGGAAGAACTTCAATTGATGGTCGCTTATTCTGCTCAAACCCAGATGATCCAAAGAGAAAAGGGGCACTAATGCGAGCCCGCTTGCAAGCAGGGCTGTATACATCCACATGGGATCCAACTGAATATAATCGACCAAGGTCCGTGGGATTTGTATAGAAGGAGCCCCCAGAATAGATTTCATCATCTCCTGAAAAATTCATCAACAAACTCCAATAAGCTAAATTTCTCTAAAAAATTCTATATCAAGCAGATAATTTTATTAGCAAGCAGACCCAACAAAATTCAAGCTTTGATTTTTATTTAAAAACAAATTTTGCCCCTTATAAAACTTTCCAAAAGAAGACAAACTCTTCAAGGATCTAGCCCTCTCAATCAAGAATTCACAAGATAGTCACCAATAATCTATCATAACTCCTAACGTTTCTTCCTTTCCTAAATTTCCATCTAAAGTCATCATATTACTTTTCTTCAAAGACAAACCAAAGCTAACTAATTTGCAGACGGATCATGCTTTAGCCATAAGAGAACACAAACGCAATCAAGAAAGTATTCGAAGTTGATTTCTTTACGTACTATTTTCATGCCAAGAATCCAATCCTAACAAGCAGATTGGTCCATAATATACCTCAAATCCAACAAACACAATTCACTTCTAAACCTCAAAAAGCATAAGCAAAATCCAAAAAAACAACCCAAGAATGGAAAAGGGAAAACTTACCACTATAGTTAACAAGAGTAGGCATGACTGAAACGACTGAAAGAAGAAGAAGAAGGCTTGTTGATTAACAGCACAAAAACCACAGAAACTGACAGCAAGTAACAAGAAACTGATCAGAAATGAAGCAAGAAAGCTTGAATGCATCACCAAGAGTGAGAAAAAGTTGAGAACTTGAAACCCCAACAGAGTAGGGCAAAAAAAGAAAACAAAGGCAGAGAGAAAGAATAGAAGGATCTGGTTTTCCTGGTTTGGTTTGTTCTTAGAAGAGAAAAGTAGTGGTGTGTTAATATAGTACAGAAAAAATGAAGAAATTGTCAGCCGAGGGAGAGATACATTGGCTTTCGCCAACATGCAATGTATCCTTCCTCTTTATTGTTTTATTATTATTCTTTTCTTTCTTTTCGGTCCCAACGGTCCACCTCTGCCATTCTTGTACCTTTTTTTTTTATGCTTCCGTTGGTGTTGCTTTCAGAGATTATGGCATGGGACTTTTTTTATTTTTTAAGCAATCATTTCCCACCATCTTCATAAATTCTTCTTTGCATACAAGAAAAATCAACTTACAAAAAAAAAAAAAATGATTTACAACCCAAATTGTCTTTCCAATTTTTCATACAAAATGATAAAATGTGGATTTTTATGAACCATGAAGGAAAAAAATAAAATAATTATCCCATAGATATTTTACGATAAATAGCAATGTTTCTAGTTTAATAGTTGACATTTGAGATAAAAACGTTTTACATACAATTATCAAGATAAATATTTTATACACAAATATTATTCAAAATTTTTTTTTTAAATATGTGATAAGTGGTGTAAGGCATTATGTAAATAAGATCACTGCATTTAACATTGTATCTATTTAAAATTCCCAAAAAAAAAAAAATCGTATCGATTCATAATTTCTTGTAGAGTAATTAAGTTTATATAAGAGTAGGACTAAGTTCAGATGTTTTTGTAATGTAATTTTTTAATTCACCAATATATATAGCAATTAACAAGAAAATAAAAATAGAATTCCTTTTTTTTTTCTTTTTTTTGGGGCTTCACAACGAATGAGGTATATTTTTTTTTCCATCAAATTTTCGAGATCAAGACTAAATTCACTTCTCCAATCTCTATTTAAAATACGTCATTGGTTTCATAATTAAGAAATTCATGATCTTTGAATATGTAATTAGGTAGCGAAATAATGTTGATTTTTTTCTTTGTTTTTTCTTGCCATGTTGTTTTCTCAGCATAGAAAATTAGATGGTATTGGATTAAAATTACAAGTTGTTCAAACTTCAGATGACAGGTTAGATACAATGGGTTTAAAGGAGCAACTTGGGCAAGTGTACACCTTTCCACTTAGCAAAACTTGGATTAATTGTATATGGCCATGGCCAAAACCTTGTTCCAGTCAGGTCACGTTTCTTCCAGCTTCTCATATTAGACAATGGGACTTGGGATTTGCGAAAATACAACTGGGTTTTTCTAACTCTTTACTAATCTTTCCCCTAATCAACTTTACTTAATAAATTAATATAATGATTCTTTAGTATAAACCATAAGATAGTAGTCCGTTGATAATCAAGCGTTAACTTACAAATCATATTCAGATTTTGATCTTTAGTAGTAGTATTTTTAAAAATTTATTCTTAAAATAATCGAATTCGTGCATTGAAAATTACTCTTTAAGAACATCTTAAAAAAAAATGTTTTTGAAGTATGCAAAAACTAACTCCTATTAGTAAAACTTTCTAGCACAAGGTATAGGTATTAAGGATGATAATTAAAGAGGTTTTAAGTGTATATTACTTTTTATTGAGTTGACAACTAGCCTAAGCATGGAGGAACCTTGTCCACTAATTAGGATATGGTTAATAATGGTTAGACAATTAGTCTATCATCCAATGTCCTCACTAACTTTAGTCTTCTTTTGTGACTGAGACTTTTTAAAATTCAAATATTTTTTTAAAAAAATTAAACTTGTAATCTCTTACAAATATAAAAACCTTACTACTATATTAGATTAGAGGCTTGCAGACGAAAGCAATTAGCACTTGCTATTATTAAAAATAAATGGAAACATATAGGATGATTAGGTAGGTTAAAATTTTATAATTTATTTATGCTTTTCTTTCCTGGAAAGTTAAAAATTCCAAGTTAAGCAACGGTATATATGTTCATAGCATTAATTTCTGCAATCATTTTAATGTTTTTCCTTTTTTGAAGTTACAATATGAGTAACGTTAGGGGGTAAGCCCTTCTTGTAAAGATTTTCTTTTTATGGCATTTGTTAAGGATTTATTTATTTATTTTTTCAAATCATAGAACATAAATTTAATTATTAATCTTTCAGAAAAAAAAGAATTATATAAATGGTACAGCTAATATAATCATAGAATGAAATTAAATTGGTAAAATGTTAATCTTAAACCAGAAATATTTGCTACGAGCCCATGATTTCTAAATAGTCATTTCATTCACAAGGAAAAAAAAAGATAAAAAAAGTAGTCACCTCATAAATAATACAAACCAGCTATCAACTGGTAATTACTTTCAGCATTTAATCATTGAAGTATTCCAATTCTACAGAATCTCCACTGAATTCTTATCCACTTGAGAGAAAGAAACAAGGGGAAAAAAGAAAAAAGATTAGCAATGGTCAAGACAATTTTTTCATTTCTAGTTAAAAAGCCATAATACTTATCGTAACTTTTTTTTTTTTCATTGATCCAAGAGATTTATATATGAACAAATTAATTAGGTTTGAAACTCAAATTTCATCTAGCTAGCTGCCAAAGAACTTGTCAACTTGTAGACATGATGATCAAGTCAGCTGGAGTAACCCTAGAGCCCATCAGCAACTGGTCAATTTGAGAGAGAGAGAGAGAGAGAGAGATGATAATGGAAGAAGCTGGTTGACTAGTGAAAAAACCCTAGAAAGGTCAAGAATGGTGAGAAAGGGACCCATGGTGTTAGGTGCAGGTGAATGACCTTTTGGGTTCTCTTCTCTTGGACAATAGTTTCAGAGATGTGCAATGAATTTGATTTGTGGATATTAAATGGAAAGTGCGTATATATACGTAGGTCCAACTTCAAGAGGAGGAAATTATGAATTAGTTCCTCTATTGTTTCAAAAAAATCAAATAGTCCCTCATGTTTCAAAAATTAATTAATGAGTCTTTTAACCGATGTTGATCTTGGTTAATTTCATGTCTTTTTCTCATCAATTCTTCCATATTATTTATTTATTTTTATCTTTTTTATTTCTTAAAATAAAAAATTAAAATAAATTATAAAAATTACAAAAGCTTATAACCCAATAGCAGTAATTTCTTATAAAAGATCACCGGTTTAAATACTAACAGATTAGTTTTGTTGGGAGTCTTGGGTGTGTGTTAAAAAGTAAATTGCAAAAAGAAGGAAAAAGGTTAAATTACAAACAGATTTAAAAACATAGGGACTAGTTAATATTCTTTGAAACTAAAGGGATTATTTTGGTAGTTTGGAAAAAATACAGGGCGTATTTTACACTTTACTCCTTTATGAGTAGAAAAATTGAAATCATACTGAAAAAGCCAAGAAAGGTAGAGCAGCCTGCTGGGAGATCATGCATGGCTAGAATCAATGGATTTCCATGGATGGCTGCTCTATATATGCGGCTATTATATATTATTTTCCTCGTTTTGAAATTTTTTTTTTTTTTTTTTTTTGCTTAGAAAAGAAGAAGCTCTAATTCGAGATCCTTGGAGAAGTGAATCATCTTTATTTTTTAATCTGATTACCTAAATTAGATATATTGCATTTATTTACTTTTCACTATTTTTTCCCTGGTAACATAATTGTAACATGTGCCTATATATTCATGTGTGTGTATGAATCTAAAATATAAAACTTGTTTTTTCAATATTCATGGATGATAAATATTCTTTTTCAAATCTTTCATGTTACTCATCATGCGTATGCATGTGCTACTCACGTGTTACCATATGATCCATTTGATAGATTCCTAATAGTATGAATTGGGATATGACTTTCCTAAACTTGAAACGGGAACAACATTTAGGTTTTTTTAAAATGACAAAAATATGCTACCTACCTACTCTGCGTATTTTTGGTAAACATGAACGTCTTTTCGGTTTTGTTTTTTTTTTTTGTTAAATAATCTATTCCCTGACGAATCTGAATAAATAAATAATAAATAAGTAATGTATAAAGTTAAAAAATATTACTACAATTGTTTTTTTTTTATTCATAAAACTGAATCTCAATTTTCTAATTTAATATAAAATCAAAATTTCAAAACAGTCCTAACGATCCAACAAGATTCTCAAAAAAATATTAACGAATTAATCAAAATTTCAATGTCCAAACTAATTGATAAGCTCTAAAAGATGGATTGCAAGTGAGGAAAATATTTAAAAATATATCTTATATTTAATAAATATTTAATATATAAAGTTAAGAAATAATTATCTACTGTAAGATTTAAGTTTTTTAGATGAGATTGAATCTTAACTATTTAATTCATTATAAAATTAGAATATCAGAAATGTCTAATAATTCACAAAAATCCTGAAATTAAAATTATTTGATAGACTCTAAAAAATGAATTTAAAATTAAGACAATATATTAGAAAACACATCTTATATTTAATATATAAAATTGAAAAATCATCGTCAATTACAAAATTTAAGGTTTTTTTTTTAAATACAAACTAATTCCGTCTATTTAATTCAATATTTTCATACAAAATAAAAATAAATATATTATAACCATTTGCAGTTTGAGGGGGATGCACAGAACGACTCTCTTTCATGGATGCATCATCTGAAAGCCGTACACAACTGGCTCATTTGTCAGCGCATAAACTTTTCAGCCAACTTGTTGGGCCTTCCCCCACGCTTGATAATGTCATGCTCCCAACTCAGCATGCATGTACGTTTCAGAACTACTTTATCATTAACATGAGAGCTATCCTAATATAACCTAATGATTAGGGATTTTTATGTGTGGCCTAACACTTTTAAATC